AGGCCAGTCCGGTGCATACAGAACGGGCCAAGTCACGCGACCTTCAACGACAGAAACCACGCGAGAAAGCAAAGGCGTTACGCGCACGCGAGACCGCTGTCATGCTGAGGTCACACCTGACCAGGTTCAAAACGCGCGCACGGCCACTCCTGGAGAGCCAATGGGGAGCAATGACTACTGCCCCTTAGATAGCGAGGCGGCGAGTAGAACGAGACTCTGCTGCTGGATACGCTGCCTACGACCCGAGATTCTGCTGCTAGTGACAAGACCATCCAGCATTGAAATAGGAGGGTAACGAGGTGAGGAAAATCAGTCGTCGTTTGTTCAGACACCGCCACCACACGGTGGACATAATTGTCAGCCAGTCAGCCGGCAAGCCTAGAACGTTCCGGACGTTCGGCAGCCCAAATTAATTGCTTCCTACTTTATAAACGTCAAGGTACAAACGGTGAGGTGGTCAAGAACGACAAAATAGAAACGCAAACAAGTCACAAATAAAGGTTTACCTGTACTGACACCGTCTCCGGTGGAGCAGAGTCGGCGACAGGCGATTTTCTTCGTACTGTAACAGCCACATCGAGGGGGGTTTTGTCCTTGCCGACGGGGTTGCACCTCTGACAGTTGACATCATACAAGTGTCTTTCATGTTCTGCCGTAGTGTCGGTGTTCAGAACGTGTAGCAACCTTTGATTTCCCTGGGCGGGCGACGCCTCGTGTCCCTTCAGTCCCTTAGACCAATGAAAAAAACTGTCGGAGAGGATGTAGACAAGAACCTTACATTATGTTCAAAAATATGCCTAAGGATACATCGTGGTTTCGCAAACAAAAGTTGAGACTAACCTGGCCAGTGCTTGACTCAACCATATCAACACCTGTTGCAGTTCCATTGGCGAAACTTTGAATGAGCACTTTCAAACGGACCTCGCTGGTGCAGGCAGCTAACTGTTTTGGTGAAATAAGCTCGATAAGCAAGAGGTGCGCAAGTTTAGAGTCCGTTTCAATCGCCTTCAACAGCAGCTGAGAATGGCGTCGAAAGTCGGCCAGTTGGCAACTGTCATTGACGACCTTTTTATTTTCCTCAGCCTGAGAAAGACGGTAGAGGCCGTTACGACGTGCTATGGCCGATTCGGTCTCAATTACGAGCTGGCTCAGGCGACGGCGAGACAGGGTGTACAGGTGGCGTACCTGCCGGATCCTGAAAAGCCACACAATAGTTAAGTATTGGTATTGGCTACGGTAAGTATATTAGTAGGCGAGTCTTAAACATTTTATTAACTTGTACCTTTCCTCGAGGAAAGTTGAAAGCCGACGACGAACGTGCTCGCGCTCCTCGGAGACAGTGAGTTTTGAAGTTTTGTTACCAGCTACAGTAGCTTTCGCAGAGCCTGAAACAAAAAGAAGTTTTGCAAAAAACGTTACTTTTCTGGTGGAGGCAACAGATGATACAACATTATTTGTAATATTTGGAGATACAGGGCATTCCGACGAATTGACATGCACCGTACCAATATTGTTTGCCCAAACAAAAGGCTGCTACGGTAAAACCAAAGTACAGTAGCCGCCGAAGA